AAACAATGGCATATCAAAAATGGCGTAAAACCTCTTAAAAACGAAAGATTTTCAACCAGGAAGGTAAGAAGCGTTTTATTTATGTTAGAATAATATTATTTAGAAAAAAAAAAAAAAAAAAAAATTGTGCGAACGACATATTTTATACTAAGTTATTGTGCCTGGGTTACCTGTGACTGAATATTTGCGGCGATCATCCTCGGGAACCCAGCAACTTCGTGGCGATTTTCCCTCGCTGCAACAAGCGCAGGGACTGATGTTTACACGTTCGATTTTAGTTGCGCTATAGCAAAGTGGTGATTATCGCGCTGCAAAAATCGCAAGTCACGTTAAAGTTACGTACAGGGGCGAGAGGGGAGGGGAGGGTGGTATATAACGGGATCAGCTATCCACCGAGTTGACACTGAGTTGAGTTCGAGTTAACATTGAGTTAGCGTTGAGCCAGCATTGAGAATTTATGCACAAATACTTATATTGTTCAACTTTTTCTACATTGGAAGGGTGGTTCTAGTTGGTCTGGTTGAAAACAGATCAGCCATACCAGTGGTGAAAGTTATAAAGACACTATAAAGAGGGACTTCTTTGTCTGTGAAAGAACAAATTTCCACTGGATCTGTTTGACTAAGCACTTAAATATGCTGTAACATCATTATGCGGCAGATAAATTAATAGTGTCAGGGGTGTATCCAGGAGGGGGGGGATCCTTACTTGCATGACTTCAATATGATGTTATATCAATCTGAGGTTTTCATACTTTTTTGGCTTTGAAATTGGGGCTCACAGGGACCCTCTGACACCCCCCCTGGATACATGCCCCTGAGTGTTATACATTTTCTCAAATTGATGCATTACCAAATCAAATTCTCCAAACTTTAACTGTGCTCGTCCCAGTGCTTGATGAGCAGCTGGCCATGTTGGTTTGAGTTCTACAGCTTTTTCTGCACATTTTATTGCTTCAAATGTTTTATCCAGCTGTAAAAATATCTGGATGTAGAAAATGGACTGTGTGTTTAAACCAGCAATATTGTATTATTATATAGAATCATTACAAAATAAATGGAGGCTATGATATGGATGATAATGGTAATTTATAGCATCATCATTATCATTATCACTCATTATTTATGATAAACAAGAAACAAGTACAAAATCACCTGTGATTTCATCTCGTGAAGTTTCTCATCATCTGGCGTTAGGATAAGGGCCTCATTCCATTTCTTAACAGCTTCAGAGAATCTAAAACAAAATCAAAAATTACAATATTAATATATTACCTTGATTGCTCTCTAGAAAACCAACACCGACCGAGCTTGTTCTGCCAACGAAGCTCCCTCATCAAGCAAACATTTGCTAATCTTGCAAGCTGTTTCATTGTCGTCCTCGCTATGTAATCGTTTTGCAGGCAATAAAAGTTGCTCAGCAGATTCCTCCTTTATAGCGTCGTCTCGTACTTCGTTATCATCGAAAGCTGAAGCTCTTTTCCGTGACAAGTCGTGAGGTATTTTCTTCTTCCATCCAAAAATGGTAGCCATCTTTGTTTATGAATACACAGTACTGTCGAATAGCGGTGTTTCATTTTGCGCGTGCGCATTCCTCACGAGATTTTCGCGCGTTTACACCGTTGTTACCGTCAAAATACGAAAAGTTTGGCCTCGAAAATGTTTATACCTGCTAAGTATAAGATATGAATTGCCCTAATTATGAAACGCAAACATTCATCGGCGTCTTCACAGAAAGGGTAAGTTGTTTGGCCTACGTGTTTAGCGGGAAATTAGGCTTATTTTCCGTGAGTACAGCTCACGAAGAATCCGTTCCATGTGTTTATTACGGAGAAGTGCCGCTCTGTTGAATTTCAAAGTAAATCCAAACATTTTCATTTCACTATTGCTGTAATATCTCATATTGTATACAGATTTGTGTGCAGCATAGAGCTTTGAGTGATAGTTACAGCAATTGAAAATTTGTTAGATATAAGTTTATAACTTAGTACGTAAAGGAAGGCACTGTAGCACTGCGTTTTTGTCATTCCAGATGTCAGATAATATCAAAGTTCTTTAAAACATCAGAGAGCCAAGGTAAGTTTATTTTGTTTGCTGAACTATAGAAATCGCTTATATGGGCTGAATGTTAACTTTTAGGTTTCCAAAGTAGAGCACTGTCAGAGTGTCTTGACAAACGCTTGTGCAAAGAAACAGACAAGCCCTGACGTAACTTATATGGGCATGTTTGTTTTGCTTTAACGAACAAGTGTGTAAAATATATATCTGCAATATATCATAAAAGAGGTATATTATGATAGCACCTTGTTCTGTAATGTAAACATTGTCACAGATAGAGGGTAATACAGTAAAATACATTTATAAAACCTCCACTATGAATGCTGGCTTTTTAGCACCTTGCTTTTGCTAATACTGATCATATATCCCAAACTGGATGAAAAATATTATTTTTTATTAGATATCCATGATGCTGCCAGACTGAAAGAAGCTGCCGATTCCACAGTCTCACAACCAAAAAGCCTTGTGGCCCCAGTTCTTCATAAACTGACCAAATTAAGGGAAACCCTAATCAAGAAAACTACTTTTAGAAGCACAAAGACTGATGATGACAGACACGAAAATAATATGAACAATAATAGTGCATTAGATAAGCAAAGCGAATCAGGTAATTCTTCAAACTGCAAGTCAAGTGTCGACGAAGGTGGTGTTTTGCCACAGAGTATCAAACAAGATAGTGTGGAAAGTGCTGGTGTTGTTGCAGGAAATGTCACTTCTCCAAGAAATACAAGCCTTTCTGATTTTAGTTCACATAAGAATGGTGCACTTGGAACAAGTGAACAATATGATTCATTGAACAGTGAAGTGTTTGTCAATGACCAAAATCATTCAACTAATAAACAGTTTATGGAACATAATACAGTCAAGAACAATGATATAGAATATCAAGAAGGTAATAATATTGAACATTCAATTGAAGCACCATTGATGGATGAGTTAATGGTTACCGATAGCGATGGAAGTCTTTTGGATAGGAATACTGAAGAAAATCTTGCTGATGATGAAGAAGATTCAGAAATGATCTCAGAGGATGATGAAAGTCCAATTAAACAACAACTTTTTCAAGTGTCTAGTAGACTATCAAATATAGCTCACAGTACTGAAACCTTATTAGATCCTGTTGCTCCAAAACATGACCCAGAAGACATTGTACCTCAAAAAACCTTTAGTCAACATGACAATGATTTAGCTCCGGCATGCTCTTCTCAGATAGGAGACAAAAACTTTGATGATAGTGATTCAGATTCTGACGACGATTTACTTACTCCGCCATCTTTCTTATATGAAAACAAATTGAAGGTACAACAACTATTGTGTACACCAGAGAAGTTAACAACTCCTCAAGGTGCTAGTCCACTGTGTTCTCCTATCAAGCCTGCAAGAGATATGAAGAAAGAAGTGGAGGACAAGAAGTATAAGTTTTCTTTGCAAAAAATGCTGAATAAGAGTAAGAAAACAGAGGCTAAGGACGCTAAGTTATCTGAAATGCAGGCTGATTTAGAGGCTGGTATCAAGAAAGGTGGAGTCAAGACCATGACAAGTACGATAAGTGAAGATGAAACAGACACTGATGTTGATGGTGAGTAAATGCTTAGTACAGTAAATTATATTTGTAATTTTTTGGGGGGTTTATCCATTTATTTGTTAAGTCATTCAGTTTTTGCTTATACACCATTATTATACAGCGTATGCTGAATAAATGAATCTTGTTCTGGATATTTATTCTTTCATTTGTTAACACATCCATGTATCCATTCATGCATTTGTTCATCTTTCAATGGATTTGTTCATCCATTTGTTCAACTATCCCATTTATTTGCTAATCCATTCATTCATTTTATTCATCCATCCATTCATCTTGGCATTCAATTATTCTATTTTTTCATTCCTTCATTTATCTATCTATTAATTAATCAATTTATTAATTAATTAATTTGTTTCATACATGTATGATTTTTCAGATGGCAAAGACCTTAGCAAGTGCAATCTACCAGAAGAAGTATCAAAGCATCTAGTTAAAGTCACAAACTTTTCTGAGAAACTTATTGGAGAAGACATCTTTCCTGAATTTCACAACTCCATATTTGTAAGTAAATATAAAAATGCACATGTTATAGATAGATGTCCAGTTTATACATTCACAGTTCAAGACAGTGTTCAAAATAAAAATCTTGGCAGACATTTGTCAGATGGCAAACGTTTGAGTTTGTCTGTTCAAAGTATATCTTAGCTTTAAAAGCATTTGTTCATGTTAAAATTTAACTGGTCAAACTTTATTTTGACCAGACATTTTAGTCCTTTACATGGATCTTACTTTTACCCTGATAAAGTTTTTATTACTGTTGTATAGGACCAAGAACTACCTTTCTTAAACTTCCCTGATCCAGTTCATAATGACAAGTTTCTAGAGAATCTCATCTCATCCAAGCCTAGTGCAGTAAAAGAGGTTATTTGTGGTCAGTGGTTTCTACAGTATTATCTCAAGAGGCCTTGCCCTGCACCATTGGCTGAGTGGATTTTTAACATAATGTGTGTCTATCCTGATGTATACCTTAGTACTCATTGTTTTAAGGCCCTGTGGGCGTTATTGAGAGCTGGCTATCAGGTTAGTATGCCTTATTTCACATTGTTTTTCAGTTTTTAGCAGTAGTAAACTAGTGTTTATTGTTGTTTTTATCATTGTTTCTACCCGTTTTGATAGCTACATTGTATCTGTTAAAATTATTGATATTCATTTTATACATGTAATAAAATAATAAAAATGATGATGATGATAATAATAAGGCTTTTAATAGCACTTAAGTCTGCTCTAAGAGTTATAATTATTAACCCAAGGACTCTGCAATTCTCTAGGTACAAAATGGAATTCCCAAAGGCATCCGTGGTATTTCAAATTGGATACCAACTACAAGCAGTATCATCTACGTCCTACAATTCTACGGTGCTACACTAGAGACACTTAACTTCAACAAACAATTATCCTCCCCCCAAAAAACAGACACCACTGTCAAAAAAGAAACCAAAACTTCAAAGCTGTCTACTTGTCAACCTTCTCAGCTTTGTTTTTATATTCGACAACTTGTTCAGATAGTAACACACGCAGTACACTATGGATCTTACATGGAGAATGATCTTCCTATTTTACTGGGTATTATGTGTAGGTTATCACTTGATTTAAGACTACAGGAGCTTTTGTTTGACCTAGGGATATGTATATCTGAGATTCTGAACTGTTTTGGGAGTGCTCAGTGGGAGGAGCAGGTGAGTCACTCACAAGAGAGCTGTTTCATTCTTTATAAATGTTTTTTATATATAACGCACACACATAATGCTTATTGTACTGATAAACACATTGGGAGTTGAAAAGCACTCTAGAAGCAAGAGAAATACTTACTACGCTTGTGTTTCTAAGCTTGCTTCTCTCATGTTTTTCATCTCCCATCTTGTTAACGTCTGAGGACAGAGACATGGGTGGTGTTTTATATTTCTTATAAATACAATACATGTAGAACTAACACACAATGTTTTTTCATCATCTGTTATTTGAGCACCTGTATTGATCCTCGGAAATCTCTTTTAATGTATTTCTGCTTTGTCAAACAAGTAACTATAGTTCTGCAATGACAGATAAATTGAATTCTGACTTCAAGACCAAGCTCTAACAGTCCCCATTTTGAGGGTTTTTTTAAAAAAAATTAAAAAATTAAAAAAAATATTAAAATTTCCTGAGAATGAGGAACAAGCAATAAATGATAGAAAAGGCTGCAATACAATGGTTTACTGAAATAATTCATGTTTTAATCCTATGGTTGTGAATTCTGTTACAGATTGAAACATTACCATCAGTACTTGCATTGATAAGCACCAACCACAGAAATCTCTTACACGTTATTCAAATCTTACCCCCCTCCCCCAGGGGGTCACGACTACGACAACTGACATGCATAGTGCTACTGAAATTCTTTATTGAAGAATTATTGAATTCAGGGAATGAAACTAAAAATGCCATTTCAAGGACAGAACAACTCCAGAACTTATGCAAGAACGTTACATTTGAGGTACTGTATATCATTGTGATCAATTGAAGCTTCTGATTTACTAAGCAATTCAACCAACTAAAGCTCTAAACAAACACTATAATTATTAGTATACTAATTAACAATTAGACCTCGAGGTCGAGTGGACTACGAGCTAATAGCCCATGAGGCCGAGTCTGCGAGGCCCAATGGGCTATTAGCTCGTAGTCCACCAGGCTGAGAGGTCTAATTGTTTTAGTATAAACATACTAATCGGTCAAATAATGAAAACAAATTGAAATATCCTTAAAATAATTTATTAATGAGATGCCGCAATTTTGATTTTCCCTGCGAGTGGTCTATCATAAATTAGACCATTAGTAGAGTAGCCAATCACAGCGCAGTATGAGTGATAGACCATTAGTATGTTTATACTAATGAGTAATATAATTAAAGCTAACACAGTTCACTAGATCTATACTCAGTCTGTCAATCAAAATATATCAATCGCTGAACAGACAAAGCAACAAATAGTTTGATATAAGAACCTTGCAGTGAGTCACCCCCTTTCAGAGAAAGAATAATTTTTGTAAGGACTAATTCAGATGTTTTTGTCTATCTATAGTTAAGTCAGCTGTCTGCTCTTGTGGAGCAAATCAAACCAAAGAAAATTCCCAATTGTGATAATTATCTTCTTCACACCATTATTTTCCTGGTCGACCTTGCTGTTGGATCAGAGGATTATCCATCTTCAGACAGGGTAAGCAATGAAAAACATAATAAAATGCTGGTAGTAGCACAGGCAGCCCACCCTTTACATGTTTAATTTTCTCAATTTTTTTTTGTATTTTATTATTTCATAAATGTATTAATGGTACTAGAAGCAATGATAATGTCCATGAAAGTCTTAGTATTAAAATGATAGATTCATTATGGAGTGGTAACTGTGTTAAGCAGTCATCCTTGGGACTTTCCAAAGTGGCTGACTATTAGACATTGGTTGCTTGAAAGAGGAATGACACAATGATAGAGAAATTAAAACTTTATTTATATTAAGTAGAAAGAGGTAACACTTCATCTTCGGAACACTCTGCAGGTTACTTCAAAACATTTTTACTAATTAAAAAGAAAGATAAACTGTTTCTTGGATATAGCAAATGTGTATTTTATTGAGTACTATTGTGTATAAAGATCAAAGAAAAGCACTCTATATTAATCTGATGATTATTGTTTTTATTGTTGACAGCCCAAACTGAAAACGTTAGCCAGTAAACTTAGCAGTTTGAATGGTGAGATCAAAGACCCAAGAGCTAAGTTCTTGGACAGAACTAAAGTGAAAGATCTGATAGTCAGAACGGTTCATAGAATCACTTGTCTTGTAGGCACTATTAAACCTTCAAAAGAGGTGAGTCAGTCATTAAGGCCGATTTAGACGGTACAACTTTTGCCTACAACTATTGCATGCAACATGTGTAAGTCATCCTTACAACGTGACTACAACTGTCGGAGGGTTGTCAAACAATTGTTTTAATCTCTACGACAGTTGTAGCCATGTCGTAAGGATGACTTACGCAGATTGCATGCGATTGTTGTAGGCAAAAGTTGTACCGTCTAAATCGGCCTTTATACATGTATATAATTAATAATATTCAAGTACTACTGTAGTAAATTCCAAATCAAATTATGATACGTTGTAAGGAATTATTGTTTTTGATTGAATCAACAGAAACAGCTCACTGAGTACTTTGAAGTGAACAACTCCAGTTACACCATTGAGTCCCTAAAAGACTCTGAATTACCAAGCTGTGAAGAGGACAATTCTTCAAGCAACTCATCTAGCAGAGGACCCAGTCCTACTCCTTTAGCTGATGATTTGAGTGACAAGGATGACGAGACAATATGATTTTGATGAATAGTAGACATTAATGAGCAATATTGCATGTTTTGAGTATTTTCTTTTGATGTCAGTGAATTTTTTTATCTACAGTGTACATCAGCTTGATGGTTGTATTCAAATGACTGAAAAGTTAGTCATGTATAGTATCTTCAACCAAGTCCACTTTCAGGAACATGTACATTTTCAAATCACATTTTCAGCAAAATGTGCGACAATTAAGTTACGGCAAAATTGAAGTACATGTTAACAGATTTTTAGGTGATTGTTTGTTACTATGGATACACGAATCTGAAGTACTTTGATTGCTTATAAAACAAGAGATTAGAAATTTAATTTTGTTTTGTTTTCCCCTGGTTTGCGTAAATGCAACATATTGAGAAACTGTGTAAATACAACTTTTGATATAAATTTGCAAAAATTTATTGAAGACATCAGTCGATAATACTAGTAGTAATATTATGGATTTAGTATACCCAAGAGTAACTTCAACATAAAAATACAAAAAACAACAACAACAACAAACAAAACAAGAACAAGAACAACAACACACACACAAAAAAAAACAAGGACAGTGTTGTTGTTTTCATATTATTTAATATGAAAACACTGCACTAACAAATTGTTATGGTTTCACGATGATTTTAATTGACACATATTAGTTCAAAGTAAAGAAAATTTTATTAGTTAATATATGTTCCAGTGTAGATATAATATATAAATGTACAAACATTTGTTGGAAATTATAAAATTAGTGACTTAACTATCATGTAGCTCATTGAAAATTGTTTCCTTTCAATCCATTGAGATAAGTATTTTTATAAGCTTGATTTATTGATATTTGAAAATGATTAATAAAAACAATGATTATTTCACTCTTGTAATGTTTGTTTCTCTAAAGAAAAACTTCTTTAAAATATCCGCTCTTATATAATTAACTCATTGTTCAACTCAGATAACCACATTATTTACCGCTTGTAAACGCCTCATTAAGCTGGCCATCAAATTGACACCAAAAAGTAGCCATATTAACAGATGTCTGAATTAACTTGGGGTAGAAAAGTATGGGGGTTTAGTCAGGACTAGACCTGAAAACTTGGTGGTTACAACAAGGTGGCTGTAACTTGTAGATGACATTTCATGACTATTCCATGCATTTTAGTTCTTAAATTCTCAATCATAGTGTTAAAAGGACAAGCTGTTGGACCCTCTTTGTCCTTGCAAAACAGGCTCTACATTTTCCATGGCTGCTCCGATAAATGTCAGTCTTTCAGTAGTCATAATACTAGAATAGAGAAAAAATTTTTATGGAAAGTGAGTAGGGCTATGCAGCCAGATAAATCCTTATTCAGCAGATAAAATCCATACAAAATCTAACGAGCAGATACTATCTGGCATTAAACTTTATCCAGCCTTCATAAAACTGGCCCAAGAATGTACATAATAATAAAAATGGGCATTGACAAGAACAACATTGTAAAACTGCCCTCTCTCTTTTATTTTATATTGATCATAACCTGAGTACCCTCAAAAATGGTTAAATTTGTTATTCTGTGTTATTTTTATTACCTTTTTTGTAACCCTGAATGTACCAGACAAAGTCCGTGCTCTGTTTGACGAAGGAGGTAGAACCACTGGCTGGACTTTGGATGGTATGCAGTCCCCTGTATGTCTGCTTCCTGGGACCCAAGCCCTTGAGAGAAAAGTTAAAATAAATCTTGTGAAGTTTTTCCTTACTAACTTAATCTTTGATGCATTGGACAATGATATAAGTGTATGCACTCTAATACATGTAAGTTTCTTAATCTAATAATAAAATACCTCTGAGTTAATGTCGGTGATGGAGGTTTTTTCCGAGGTTTGCCTTTATTTTCTACCCATTTTTGAAATTCATCAGCATTTTTTATTGTTTTTTCATATTCTTCATCCTGTTTTTTGGTTCCTTCCAGCTTTTCTTGCTTTTTCTTCTCTTTGTGTTGTTGTTTTAGTATATCATCTTTTTTAGATTTCCTGAAGTTAATTAAAGCAATAAGCATATTATGCCACAGAAATTGCATGTAATGCAATCTTGCATTGAAGCAAGACTGCAACACATATACCCTCTGCTAATATAAGGAAGTACAATTACCAGTTTTCAAAAGATTTCTTGGAAGAAATTGTCTTTTCCATCTTCTCTTCCTCTTCTTTCTTCTTCTTTTCCATTATTTCTTTCTTCTTTTCTTTGTGGGTTCCCTTGATGATCTCATCCTTTTTACTCTTCCATGACTCAAAGTACTTTGTGGCATCTCTTTTCTTGAGTTCTTTCTCAAGGTCTTTTTCTTTTTCTTGTTTCTTCTCAGCCCTTCGCTTTGCTTGCTGTTCTTTCAATGTTTCATTCTTACTCTCGCTCCATGACTTAAAGGCAAGCTTAGCCTGAAACAAAGGATGTTTTACTAAATACTTGATAGGAATCATTTTAAGGGCCTACAGAACCTAACAGAGTTTATCTAAGGTACTTTTACTGCAAGCCCAACCATCACCTGAAAAGGAAAGGATCATTTCCAAGATGGCAGTGTTGGTAAACTGTAAACAGGAGTAGGTATAAAATATTCAATTGTTATTTTGCATTTGTGTGCATAATTAAATTTAGTGCCATCATTGACTTGCAATCAGTACCAAATTGTGTGTAAACTAAATAAACAAAACATTAATTAATTTTGTTTAGCAACTTACACTCCTCTTCTTTTCTTTTTGTTCTCTTGCCAATTCCTCTTCCTTTTGCTTCTGCAAAGCCTTTTTAGACAACTCCTTTTTGATAGTGACATTTTTCCTGGACAACCAGTTATCGTATACAGTTTGCCTGATACTCTGAGTGTCCAGACTGTTTCTTCTTCCATCATCATCGCTGTCATAACCAGTGTAATATGTGTGACCAGTTTGATGGAGATTTGTCAGGGAAGAGGACTTCTGTTTTCCTAAAGAGCGTTGAGATCCAAACCTCCAGTCTTGGTCTTCATTGTCATGATAGGGATTCATGGTCTGCCTAAGTTGTGGTGATTTTGTCATTTCTTCTATTCTAAGGTCGGCTTTCATTGGTCCTTTTTTGGGTGTGACAGCTGACTGAGGTCTTCTGTGATCTATAGGAAGATAATAAATAAATAATGAATTTCACATTTTGCATACACGTTACAATCTGTCAATAAACCATTCAATCAAACTGTCCATCTTTTAATCATTAAATCAATAAGATGATAAAACAATAAGGCAAACACTCAAGGATAAATGAGAATCCAAATTGCTAATCAAGCAATCAGTATTCATTATCAAGGAAGCAGGCCAACAATCAAACGAGATGCCAATGTCAATTAGTCTTTCCCTATAGATAATCGGTTCCTTCAAAACACCAAAAAAATATTACCTCTAGTATATTTCTGAGTTCTTTCCATATCTGGCACTGTACCAACTACATCACTTGTATCAGGGATATGTTCCTCAAACATATCAGTGATATCCTCTTCATGTCGAGACCAGCCATTCTTTCCTCGCATTTGACTACTGCTTGGTCGCTGAGGTGTGACCCTCCCACGATTTGATTGTCTTTCCCTGTTATCTTTATTATCTCTGAATAAATTTTGATTGGCATCATATCTATTAGGTTTAGAGTCTTTTTCTATAACAATTTCTTCCTCTTTTCTGTTGGTTTTCATGTTTCTATCTTTGTGACGAGGTTTTGGCTTTGGGGAAGCCCTTGGTGATGGCTTTGGGGTGCTTTCTTTGGTTATTTGGGAGTCCTGCTTTTTTGCAGTGGAGGATACTGTTTTCTGTAAAGTTATTCTTTTACCAACTGCTTCATCATCGTCTTCACTGTCATCTAAAGATGACCAACCAGCTACTTTCTTAGACTGAAGTTTATCATCTGTTTTTGTCTTAGCATTTGTCTTTTGGTGAGATTTCACTTGAAAATCTTTACTTGTATCATCATTGTCATCATCATCATCGTCATCATCAAGATAATGAAGCTTTGATTGCAAGACTGATCTAGGAGGATTTTTAGCATTGTTATCTCTTTTTATTCTTGACTTTGTTGCACTTAAAGAGTCTTCTTTTCCTTCATCACTGTCATCATCACTGTCATTGATAATGGTCTTCCTAGAATCAATTGTTTTGGCAGTATTTTTGTTGCGTTTTCTTGGTTGAGGTACTTGTACACTATCCTTGTATTTACCACTTTCATCCTTGATCTCATTTTTATCCTTTGACAATTTTTGATTTCGGACTTTATGTTTTTGTATGTGTGCATCACTTTCATCATCGCTATCATCTAACAACAGTTTTGAAGCAGCTTGGGATTTATCTTTTTGCTTCTTTCTTCTAAACATATCCTCATTGTCAGATGCCAACAATTTTGACTGAGCTGAGTCTTTTTCACTAATTGACCTAATGTTCTCATCATCACTATCATCTTGTAACATCTTTGACATTGTGTAGGCCTTACCATTGTGGCTCTTTTTGCTACCAAATTTATTCTCAACAAAGTGGCTTTCATTCTTTCCCTTAGTTCTTCTAACACCAACATCATTGTCATCGCTATCATCAATAAGTATTTTTGGAGTTGCCAAAGCTTCATCCTTTTGTCTTTGCTTGCTAATGGTCTCTTTATTTTTGAATTCCGAAGATCTTAACTGACCAGAGTGTTTCTCAATGTTTGGCTCATATTTTCTTATTCTTTTCCCATCAGCATCATTATCATCACTATCATATATCACTTTTTTATGCTGTTCTTTCTCTCTTCTTTTGCTATCAAAATCATCTTTATTTTCAAATTCTGAAAGTTTTGACTGCATAGATCTACTTTCATTTTTCCGTCTTTTGTCTTGGAAGCTGTCTTCAGACAATTCTTTTCTTCCCTTATTGCTCATTAGATTGTACTTTCCTATATGCAGATCTTCCTCATCTTCAGATGATTTAGAGTCCACCTTTGACATTAGAGATTTATTTTTAGATTTACTACTTTTCTTTTCATTCATTGCACCTTTGCTATCAATTATTTGTTGATGCTTGTATGAAGAACTTAAGACATTCTCTTCTATTGGAGTTTCTACTTCATCTTCCTTTGGTTTGCTAACTTGAATTTGAATTTTGCTATTTTTGTTGACTTTTTCACAAGATTTTTTATTACTAGTGACAACTATATCATCATCATCGCTATCATCAATACTTATTCTAGATTTGTATTCTTTTTGTGGACTGTGAACTTCAATTTCAGACTTCCTTGTAGCAGATAAAGATTGTTCCTTTGGCATGGAGTGTCTTGGATGAGCTTTAGGATTTGTAATTTCATAGCTTTCAGCTTCAAATTCCTCCGATTGGCTGTCGCCAGTTCTTTTTCTTGGTGGTGGTCGAGGTTTTCTCTTAGGATTGATTGTCTGCTCTAGGTCATCAGTTAAATGTTGTGTTTGTTTTGCTTGAAGAAGATCATCTTTAAAATCATCTTTTATTGTTTTGCTTTCAGATTTTTGTCTTGGTTTTGGCCTTGGTTTATCTGTTGATCAATACGAATATGATTGTGGTTTTAATATTAGATAAACATCACACTCAAACATGTTAAGTATTATTGAAATTGGATTGATTTGATAATTTTGACTTTTCAACAGCATATTGTTTGAATGTCTCCGTATTTTCTAGCATATTACAGGTGCATCAACACTTCAAACAAAGGCTTCATTAGTAAGAGTACAAACAATATGTTTAAACGTACGTTAATATTTGGATCACAACAATTTTTGAACTCACCTTTCTCCTTGGTTCCTATAACCAATTCATCTTCATCACTGTCGGACAACTCGTTTTTAAATAGGTTCAATAAATCGTCGTCGTCCTTCTTCTTCGCAGTTCTTCTATTCTCTCTACCAAGTGAGTTCTCTTCGTCAGAGTCAGAGAGTAAAGTTGAGCCAAATGACACTCTTTTCGTTGACAGACCAGGTCGTTTCTGTTTGCTTTCGCTGTCGAACATCGAGCCTTGCTTGATCAAGGGTTTTTTAGAAGTAAAACTCATCTTCGTGACTTAATCTTACTTCATTCAAAAAGCGTAACGTATAGTATAAATTAGTCTTCCGTGTGGATTGAGGTATAAAATCTTTATAAAAAGGCGGTTAGACGTTTAAAATTTGATCCCCTGATGAAGTTCCAAAAATATCTCATTTCTAGGCCTCCATTGCCTTGGTTTGCAGATCAAACAATGAAATACTGCCGAAGAAAAGGTACTTCAAGAGTTTATAATAATATCACGTAAAAGAACGCTCATAAAATGCAAATAAAGACATTTGCATTGTTCAACTTGTTACTCAGCGACCCAAAAAAACAGACAGGCGTCTCTTCATCCATGGTGACCCACGGTAACCAAGCCTTACATARAAGGCCTGGTTTCTCGGCGTCCACTATGTTTGAAAACATGGCGCGAAGGAAATACAAACAAATCTAACTTTTGGGTTATAAATGAGCGCTTTAAAGGACTTTTCTCAAGACAGCAGCGAATGTGCTTCATATTTTAAGCTGTATGCTTGTGGATATAATGGTTTTAGGCAGATTTCAAGCAAGGAACTCGATATTATYAGCGTTCCAGAGGAGTTTGCAACAACTAGAGAGATCAAAGACGAACGAATAGTCAAAATTGAAAGCTGTTTGTCAAGCTCTTTTATACTTTGGGGTTAGTAGTGAGTAATGACTATAGGTAAATACTGTAACCATAGAAGGAATGATGACTTCGTTGTGGWCATACTTTCCTTTTGATCCTGCTTATCCCCTTCCAACCCCGCAACTCCCTTCCATCCCTACCCATCTTTTCATTCGTGTCAAATCTAAGAACAGGAATGTAACGCAGAGGAGCTGGTTATCCCAAACTCCACTTTACAGAGCATCACAAGATGCATTCCTCAAAGAAAGTCTATTTAGAGAGCCATATTAACACAGGAAGAAAAGACCAAGAAGAGAAGATACAGGAGGAAGCTAATGCGAGTTCTGCTTCCACTTGTGTATGTCATCAGATTTGATTGACAGCATTGTCACCAATAATAATGAATATTTTCAGAGGATGGAAAAATTACCACCAAAGGTTGGATTCCAGGAACATCAGGAGCAGGAAACAGTGATGATTTACTTCCTGGTCAAACCATAAAAGATATTGCTTGTGCTGATGATAATATAATGCTTGTTGACAAAGAAGGAAAGCTGCTGTCATGGAATGATTCTATGCAAAGAGATTCCCATTCTGTCCATGTAGAAGCAAGTCAAATTTTTTCTCAAATTTGTTGTGGAGATTTACAGCGTGTGGCTGCTGCAAGTAAGTTTTTGAATGCAATTTTTCATCAATTCATTCATTCATGTTAAAAATTCTTTTTTTCATTTCAAGGTGATGGTTCTGTTGGCACAGTTCAGCAAGAAAGGAATGATCCTCATTTAAAATTCAGTAAAATTATCTTTGCCCATCAAGTTCAATCTGTGAGCTGTGGAAAAGAGCATGTTCTCCTCTTGACAATGACTGGAAAAGTTTTCAGCTTTGGAGGTGGAAGGTATAAAAAGGAACTTGATGTTATTCTTAATTGCATGTACCATATTAAACTCATCACTAATGATGAGCTTGGCGTTAGGTGCGTATACAGTGGGGGGTAGGGTTTGAGGCTTGAGCAGCTGGTTACCATGGAAACCCAGTCACGTTCCCACCTTGCACCTGTCACACTAACCACATTAAAAAGTGCAGATGATAGTTTGCACAGAAAATAATGTTGCATTTCTTCAAAAGAGGATTGCATGGTGTTGTTAGAGACTGAGAKTACATGTAGGAACAACAACTGCTTTTCCTTCCTTCCTAACCCCCTCCCCCCTCYRGCAGCTTTTTTGACCTACACAGGAATCCCACYCAGTAGAGTTGCCTGCAATTAAGGCCAATGCATACAAATCAAAACTTTAAATTCATACTATGATTAATTTTAGTGGTATCAATGACAACAATTATCAATCTTTTGATCATTATTAATAATTCTAACATTGCAGTCGTGGACAGCTGGGCGATGGAAGTCTTGAAGGTCATAGAGAACCTTTGCTGATTGAAGCTTTGGATGGAATAAACATYACACAGATATCTTGTGGTGGATGGCATTCAGCAGTCAAAAGTGGTAAGTCATTGATATTGTATTGCTTATYAAACTCATTAGTACAGATGAGGATGGACAGAGGTGGCAAGCCAGGAGGTCAGCAGCAGCCCAATCTGAAAGGGGGTGTCCATAGAAATGAGCACCACCTCCTGGCTCCCATCACACTAATAAACAATGAAATAGCCTGCTAACAGGCGTTCCTGCTGGGGGAGCTGAGAAGGAATGGGGAGGACCCTTCTCCCCATTCCTTCTCAGCGCCCCAGCAGGAACGCCTGTTAGCAGGCTAACAATGAAATAATCTTTATACTCACGAATTATACTTATACATAACCTGTACTTAGCCCAGGTGATAATATGTAGCATAAACAACTGTAAGTTGTTACTCTTGATCAGACCCTAACATCCATGCGCTATTTTTCTTCAATTAATCAAAATTTAAACCTCTGAAGCTGTTAGAGTTTAGCACAGGGATCCCAAGAGTGACGCATACTTAGAAYAGTCAAAACTCAGAACTTTGCAGCACTCCTCCATCAAAACTGAATGATCTAACAGACAAGCTTTCAGGATTGTATTGAGTGTTTGTCTGTCTTGAGAGAAGTTGGCAAAGTTCTGTGTAATGACKGACAGTCTACYGCTCCTAATGCGATGGTCTTGATTTATACTTAGTGGTCAGGCAGGGGTACTCCCTTCAGTAAATGCAATCTGCAACTACACAAGGGTTTTCTGTAAATCTTTGTAGGTTGYGGAGATGTCTATTGTTGGGGYTGGAACAAAGATGGTCAGGTTGGCATTGRTGATGACGATGTTCAAGTGCAGTCAGAACCATATCCTGTAACTATTGGCAACAATGATGATGTCACAGTTATTGATCTCAGCTGTGGTGCGCGGCATACTGTGGCAATAACATGTAAGTATCATAAGTATGACGCGCCTGCRATATTTTTGAAAGTGCCCCTGCAATTTGGATATCTCAGCTTATTTGCCAAATCAACTATTTTTGTCTCTTTACTCCGACGAAGGATTAACGTCCGAAACGTCAGTAAGTTGTTTCACCTATTTTTTTAAGGTGTTTAATTTATCTTTTTACACAAATGTTTCTTTAGAAACACCRACGCAGCTCAMACTAGTTTACCGCTAGTTTCCACCATTTCAACTATTTTTGTTGTTTATTTACTCAGATTGYGGCGACGTGTGGACATGGGGCTGGGGTATGTACAGCATTTATRAATTATAGTCATCTAATATCATAAATCAAATGTTCCAAAAGATC